CTATGGTAAAACGCTAGCATATCACCAAGCGTCTGCGGTGCTACGCGGAGCAGGCAGTTGAGGTAAGAACACAACTTATTGAGTTTAGAATCTGGACCGCAGAAATGTTTGAGTTCACCAAGTAGATACGCACCTTTCTGTGTATGAGAGGCTACAATACCAATATCTGCAAAACCCATGGGAGTAAGACATGGTTTACCAAAGTGATTGCCTAGGGAACATGTCAGCTTACAGCCAGGTGTGGTAAATGTATGCGGTAGGAAACCTGGAAGGCCGTCCTCCAGGAAGGACTGAAGGGGTGATTTAACACCGCATTTGGGATGTTGGTTACACTTTTGGTTAGTACCTTGGTTAGCACTTTGGTCAGCACGTTGGTTAGGTCTTAGGTTACACTGTTCGTTGGGACACTGTCTCTCATTACAGTCCCATGATGAACCACCCACATATCTGCCATAGTGGCAGTCAGCCCACCCGCCTCTAATACGGCTGTTGTTACATTGTAGGTATAGGAAGTATGTTTGTTGACACACTCTCTTCAAAATATCTACAAGCATGTCTAAACACTGTGATGGAGCATATGGATACAATAAATTATCGATGTTTGTGCGGAAATCGCAGGCGTAACGGCCATCAGGATGGCCGTGACCTAGGATGGCGGTTAGTGTAAGTTGCGAGCGCAAACAAACTTGTTGGAGTGGAGTGTGTAAATCACTAGCTTTAAGATTTTCAGTTTTTGTGTGTTTCTCTCTGTCTGGTACGACAACAGCTAACTGCTTGATATCCTTATCAAAAAGTCCATTAAATTGTTCCTTCACCTTCTCGTACATCGGATTAAAGTAGAACCCAGAAAGCCAACACAGCATCTGATAGATATTTGAGGGGGCCTTAGTTGACGAATGATGTTCAAGTTGGCATACTTGGTAGTACTTTCGAAGAAGTTCGCGTATGAAGTCAACAAAGTCGAACAGAGATATCTCGGTGCTATTTGTAACGGTTGGATATTTTGTTTTCCTCCACGCCTGTATAATCGGAAATGTGGAACCATCGGTAATTTTCTTGATAAGAAGATCACTACTAATATGCGTGCCCTTCTTGGTATCTTTATCTTGCAACTCGCCAGCCTGCTTGCCTTTCTCGGAGTTGACTTCGTATCCTCTTTTATGGAAGAAGTCACCAAGTGAATTCTTCTCGTAAGTGTTAATTTGTAATTGTGTCCAACCACCTTTAGTATAACAGTGCGCTTTCAACGTATTGAAGTCTGCATAAAACTCCTCCAGTATGGTCAGGCAGACCTTGGCGCAGTTGCGGCCCTCGGTGGAGAGGACATCTATCTCAGTTGTGGTAGCGGCGTCGGATTTTTGTTTCGAAGGGTCAGCCACCTTTTCTTTTTTTGTCAAAGGACCAAACGTTTTCCCGCTATACTTGTTTACGTACGCGTGTCCGAGTTGCTGGGTGAAATTGCCCATGCCGGCCTTGAAGGCGTCGAGGAGCAGCGGGTTGTGGAAGCCGTGGAAGTGGGAGGGGGAGAGGGCGGAGATGGAGTCATTCAATTCGGTAAGGTATCTGGTGGAGACATCGTCAAATATGTAAATACGTTTTTTAATGGACTGATCTAAATTAGTAATATTATTGTGGTTTTTAAGATAGTCAAGCAATGTGACAAATCTCTTCTGAATATCACAAACATTGTTAGATTGGAAGTTTCCCAGTCCTTTTAAAGGATGACCAGTAATCGGCGTCTTTGCTTGGTTTTCAGTGTATTCCAGAAGAGAGTCCATTAAACTCTCGACAAGTGAGGCCATTTTTTTGAAATGGTCTCCCTCCAGCGGATTTAGAACCGTTGCCATCTTTACAAAATTGCTCTCATTCTCCTTCATTCTCTTCAGTAATCCCTTTATACCCATGAACTTATCTCTATTTATTGTGTTTTTAGTTTCTTCAAACTGCTCCCCAACGATCTTCTGCAGGGCTGCGACTTCCTTTGTCTTGCGGGAGGTGTAGAGGGATTTGGCTTGGGTTTGGAGGTCGGTGAAGGCGTTTGTAATTTGGTCATTTACGTCTTGACAGAGTTTGTTCATGATTCTTTCAGCTTCTTTGGGTGCTTCTTTGAGGAGTTTACCGGCTTGATCGATGCAACCAATGAGCTCAGTTTGAACTGTTTGGACATTCTGCTTAGCCGTGATAATCCGTTCGTCAAGCTGTGCAATATTCTCTTGCAGCGTTTTCAGATCCTTGTAGATACTTTTTTCTGCGGAATGTCCGTTCGTGCCAACCTTATCATTCAGTGTTTTAATCATATTCTTAATATTATTTTCATAATCACCCATGAGCTTCTTGAGGCCTTGGGCTGAATTCTTCGTGCTGTACTCAATATCGAATTCATTACTGTAATTTACACCCTCCTTAAGTTTCTCCACTTTTATTTTTAATGCCTCCGCGGCGGCTTTAATATCCTCAGTAACCTTCGATTGAATCTTATTCATGACCGCCCCAACAACCTGGTGGGAGTGCTGGGATGCAGTATGAGCAACTTCCCGTAAGACGTTGAGGAGATTCTTAATATCTCCTTTTTCCAATTTTTCACTACCTCCATTGAGTTTTTTTGCTACACGTTGAACGTGGGAGTCATACCTTTTGAGATCGGGCGCCTTTATGTCAACACCGAGAAGTGTGTTAAGAGCATTTAATTCGGTGGATGGAAGTGTACCATTAACAAATTTCTGCACATCTTGAATTTTCTTTCTAAGTTCCTCTTTAACACTTGAAAATGCACTCTCCATCTCATCTCTGCCGACCTTAACAAGATTTCCTAACCCGGTTGCAATCTTCTCTATGGCCTCCTTTACAGGCGTCATGACATCGGTGTCAAGTTTGCCAAAATAATCTTTAATAGATTTAAAAGGGTCTTCAGTACCGCCGATTGCTTTCAGTAATTTTGCCGTAACATTGCTGCTTTTGTCCTTTTTAATTTCTTCAATTTTCGAGAGCTCTTTAAACTTCTCGATGTCTTCTTCTACTTCCTTAATCGCTTTGTCGATTGCTTTTTGAGTTGTCGAAATTCGATCAGAAAATTGTGTTGATGCATTCTTTAGCAGTAAAGCATTGTCAACAATCTCACTTCCATACCTTTTTTCAAGACTATCGATCCCTTCGCTCACCGTCTGGAACGCCTGCTGAAGGTCGGAGTTAATATACGTTTTTAAATTATTAAAATCGCTTCTTTCAAAAATATCGAGTTTCCCACTCAACTTCGAAATCTCGCTTGTCAAATAATGCTTAATCCCTCCAATCCATCCATCAAATCTGCCTCCGATATACTCACTCACCTTCTCCATCCTCTCCCGCGCCATCTCGTACATCGCCTTCAAATCATCATTCCCCGCCGCCTCTTGAAACGTCGTCGTCGCCTGCAACAGCATTTGAATGTTCGGAGTTAACTTACCTGAGAGTGCTGGATCGATGTTTTTCAGGGCCTTATCGGCCTCTTCCGCCTTCTTAATGTATTCCTTAGCACGCTGCCCCCAAAAATAAATCTGCAGGGAAAGATCTCTCTCATTTTCTCCTTCAATGAGATTTTTGTCACCTCCAATCCTATCTTTTAGAAATTTAATAGGATTTTTTACCTCATCAGTTTTACTGTTCACCTCACTCTCATACCTCCCAAGCCAGTCACTCACCGCAGTAACCTGCTCACCCAAAGCGACAGACCCCTTACCTATGGAAGAAGAAAGTTCCTTAAGAAGTTTATCCAATTTAGGCTCCTGAAGATTGTTATCATATTTCGTGACGTTTTCATCACCTTTCACAGTCTCAAGAACACCATGAAGGAAAGACATCACCCCGTCGCACAGCCTGTCAAGGTCGGAGTACACGATGCCCTCTCCGGTGTAATTCCCTTTCTCGTAGCCGAGAAATTTTTCGAGGCCTGTGCAGAGGTTATTTAATAATGTTATCGAAGGATTATTTTAGGCACATTTTGAGGGTGATTTGGGGGATATTGGGGAAAGGCGATTTTAGGTCAAGGAGGCAGTGAGGGAGTGCCGGAGGTGGTTGGACAGGGTGATGGCGGTGAAGGGGCGAAAGAGGGCGACGAAGGAGGAAGATGGGTTGAGGGAAGGCAATTTCGGAGGTGGAGGGGGAAGGTGGAAAATGAGGATTTGGGTGAAGGACGCCGACGGAGGAGGTGATGAAGGGGGTGAGGGAGGGAGCGAAGCGACCAGTGAAGGAGGGAGGTGGTTGAGTGGTTGAGTGGGTGGGTGGGTGATTAGGTGGTTGAGTGAGTGGGTGGGTGAGTGGGTGAGTGGGTGGGTGAGTGGGTGGGTGTGTGAGTGGGTGGTTGAGTGAGTGGGTGGGTGAGTGGTTGAGTGATACGCAGATCACACGTGAAGGCACGATTATGGTGAGAAGTACTTGACGCTGGCGAGCGCCTTGAGGCGTGCGGCGGCGAGGAGGGACTGCGCGGCGATGCGGTGGCTTGCGGGTGATTTCAGGTGGGATCGTATCCTCAGGACGTCGAGGCGGACGACGGCGATGTGCGCCAGGTAGAGGAATGAAAATGCCCACAGCCCAAGCAATGTCCATATGAATGGTTCACGAATTCTGAATAAGAATTCAGGGATTGTGATGTTTACGAATTTTGAGAGTACAGACTTTCCATCACATACCTTTCCAAGCTGTTCAACAAAATCATTGCACGTCCTCTTCGCCCTCTGACTCTCTTTGCCGCTGATCCATTTTGTGCTTCCGAAACTGAAACCATATTTGAACAATGTGGGAAGCATTGATGAACATTTAACAATTGATTTACAAGCAGACGCATGTTGGGACGTGGACTTTATATTGCAGCCCTGGACACAGCGCTTGTCGTAGCAAATAGTGCCCTGCTTATTGCAATTGGTATTGCACTCCTCATACAATGCTTTCAAATATTGATAGAATGTTTCCGTTAGATACACAATACACGACAAATAGAACTTGATATGTTCTTTGGAATGAATACGCCAGATATCACGACATAGTGGTCTCATATAAGTACCGCATTTTTTCCCAGACTCTTGCGATTGATCACAACTGATAAGACAGTTCAAATTGCCGTTGACATGCGTATTTGATTTGTCGTTGGCGAATATTGAATTAACATCTAACGTGGTGTCTGGATTTTTGAAGTTGGCATCCTGCACTGCTGTCCTAAATGCTGTTTCCCTATGCAACATACGCTCCGGAGCTAACTTGTTATCCCAGTCATAAAGAAATCTGTAATAAAACGCGAACATCTCGCCGAGTGATTTCGGCGGCGTGTTCGACAAGCACGTAATGTAACCACAAAGTTTGCTGAGTGGCTTATTAGACTGACCGCAGAAAGCGTCAAGTACACTGTAAATATATTCACCCCTCTGGGTATGCGATGCTAGAGTACTGATGTTCTTAAAGCCCATTGGCGTTTTACAGGGCATGCTGGAGTGGCCGGGTAGCGAACATGTAATTCCGCAGCCAACGTTGCTAACAGGATGCGGGAGAAAGCCCACTAGGCCATCTTCCAGGAATGATTGTAACGGCGATTTCAAACCGCACTTAGCATTTTGCTCACATATTTGGTCACCCCGTTGGGTACACTTTTGGTGAGCTGTTTGGTCAGGGCATTGCTTATCGTTGCAGATCCACGATGATCCGCCTACTCCCCGGCCATAATGGCAGTCATTCCAACCGTTCAACTGAGTTGTATACCGGCATCGTTGATGTAGGAAACACAACTGTTCATAGAGTCTATTCAGAATTGCCGCGAGAAGAGCAAAGCACTGTGATGGAGCAGAGGGATATGATAGGCCGAAGGAGTTGTTAGAGAACTGAACGGCATATACACCGTCACTGTGACCGTTACCAAGGATCGTGGTAAGCATGGGATAGGACCGGGAACAAACATCGTGAAGGGTGTCGGACAGAGTTTTAGCATTGAATGGAGTAGTGGCGGAAAGGCTTAGTTCGTCGCTATTGAAATTAGAATACGGTTCCGACTGTCGAGTTGCAGGCTTAGGAAACAATGTCTTAAAGTACCCACAAAGTGGACCATATACAGGATTAAATTGTAGGCCAGACAGCCAAGCTAATTGTTCGTATATACTACACGGCGTACGGGGCTTTTCGGTAATAGTGCGATGGCATGCCTTAACGTATTGCTCATGGTAGGCATACAGTTGTTCAACTAAGCCGTCCTCCTGGACAACGTCGACTGTCAACTCAGGAGAATCTGCAGTACGGAGAGCCGAGGCGTCAGCGGCCTCGCCGGCTGCAAACAGTGTATGTGTTTGTTTCGTAAGATGTTGAAGTATACGCGAACCGTTGCACTCTGGCTTATGGTTCAACTCGCCGTGCGCTGTATTTTCTGGAAGAGAAGGATCGTAACCGTGGTCACGGAAGAATAATTTATGTAAGCTAGAATCTACATTATTAGGATTGTATATAACATGTGATTTCCATGAATTCTCGGATTTCTCAAGCTCTTGTTTGAGCTCCTCCAACGTGTTATGTAAGATTGGTGTTACAGTGAGACATATTTTAGCGTACTTTTCTCTCTCTGCCTGGCCGATGTTATCCCAGTTAATTGTCTTCTGGGAGTATGTCGAGACGTAGGCTCTCTGGAGTTCGGAGACAAGGGACGTGAAGCCTTTCTTCAGAGCGTTTAGTAGCACAGGGCTCTTGGCTTCGCCGTACGACGAAGGATTGAAAGCGGTGACAGCACTGTGGAGTGACTCCAAATATTGACGGAAGTCATCGTCGAAGTGCTGGGAAGTGGTCAGGTTGGTAAGTAAGTTGTACAGAGCTTCACTTGAAGCATTGATTTTCTCGGAGTCAGACTTGAAGTCATCCTGGACTTGTAATTTCATGGTAAATGACACAAGTGCCATCTTTAATTTTGAGGCCGATTGGCTCAGTGGAGATCTCTGCTTGCCCTTCGATTTTGCCGCTGGCGTAGTTGTAGTCTGAATTGCGGAAATTCCTCTAATGTTGTTGACAAACTGCTTCTCAAATTTTGCCATAAAGCCTTTGTGCCCAATTGTCAAGTCGTGATCAATTTCCTTGGGCAACTCCTCCAACTCCTTCTCAACCTTGGCGGCAAACTGCTGGAGGAGGGACTGAATGGAGGAGACGTGATGCTTGCGGGCGTGGGTCACGATACTGTCGTGCGCCTTTTTGACTTCATTGTTGACGTGCTGCTTAAGGGGGTCGATGATGTTTGCGCCGGCCCTGTCGGCATAGTCTGCGAACGCCTGCGCTGCCTTGAGGGCCTTGGTCACCAGACCGGATTGCAGCTCGTGGAATTTAGCGTGGAGTTCTTGCAGAGTGTTTTGCTTAATTGTCTTGCTATTTGCAGCGTTACCAATTTTGTCATTTTTGAGACTCTCCAATTTCTTTTTGACGCCTTGCGTTGTTTCTTTTATAGCGTTCGTCAGGGTTTCCAGATGCTCTTTGATTTTTTGAGCAACTCCTTCCAGCTTCTGCGGGATATAATTGGCGGAGAGTTCCGTGGCGGTGTCTTTGAGTTTCTCGATGGCCTTGTCGACATCGGCGGCGTGGTTGGGAGTGGATCCGGCGGATTGTCCAGTCGCCGCTTCGAGACTACTGTTCAGGCCGTCAACGTTGATTTTAACGGTGTTCAATTCTTTGTAGACGCTGTCTCGGTCAGCGGATGTCTTGCCGACGTTAGTTGTCAATTTTGAAAGTTGCTGCTTAACATCTTGTTCGAACTTCTCGAGCAGATCTTTTAGCGTGGGCGCGGGGGTGGACTGGAGACCGTAATTATTACGGCCATATGCTGCTGGCCAAGCCGTGTAGCTACCTCCGTACCCACCACGTTGGTCGGGGTTTTGCTGCTGGATTTGGCTGGCAAGTTCCCTGGCGATATCTTGAGCTTGTGAGACGGCATTGTAGAGATCACTTTGGGCTGATCGTAACAACGAAGGTAATGTACTTGAACCATTGTGGTTCGCAATTTGACTTAAAACATTTTGTAGTCGAGTTTTGGGATCTCCAGAATTCCTCATTCTACGATTGTCAATTTTTGCGCCGGCATTATGACAAAGCTGCGTCAGCCTTTCGACGCAAAGTTTGACTTTTAGTGTGATAGACATGAGTTGGTCCGTGTTTTTCACCGTTGAATGAAATTTTATTTGTTCAACCTCGTTACTTAAGGTTGACAACTCTTTATTAATCTCACTATGATAAGCAAAGTTAAGTTGAGATATAATAGTTTCCACTGTGTTACGGGTAATCTCAAATTGAGATTTGTAACTCGAAAAGTCAGTCTTCTGACTTGTACCTCCATACCGCGATTTTAATCCCTCAAGTTCTCTTTTGTAACCTTCCAATCGCATTGTCAAACTCCCACCTTGCGCACTGTGTCCACTCTGCCCCTTAAGCACACTCTCCGGCATACTCTCCAACTGCCTCTCTATCCTTTTCTCCAGCTCCGCCGCCTGCGCGTCGATGAACTCTTTGGTGAGGTTAACAGCGTTGGAGTTGAGAGTATTAAGGGGTGTGACGATGTTTGTTATATAACTGCCACCGGCACCAACGATTCCATGGAGGCCTCCTGGAGAATTTTTAATCTGTCCCACTTGCGTCTTAATCTTTTCAAAAATCTTATCAATATTTTCCGGCGGTGTGCTGCCGCCGCTGGCGAGATCTCTAAACTGACTCCCAAGCGCCTTCATCGCCGCATCAACATTCTGCGTCAACTGCGTAAACTGCGATGTATAACTCTCAAGCTTATCTTTCCACTTTTTAAGATCCTTGTTCACAGCATCCTCAATGTCAAGCTTCTTACCTGTTACGCCGTCCGTCGTCTCGTCCAGTATCTTCTTGACATCTCTCTCCCTTATCCCATCGATGTCTTTCTTAGCGCTCTCCATCCATTCCTCCAATTTCTGCACGTACTCTCTCAGCTGCTTATCAATTTTTTTCAGGTCATCCAAAATGGTCTTCACTCCCTCCTTCAGCTGCTTAACTAGCTTCTCAACGTCCTCCTTAATCTTCTTATTCACGCAAGTCCCAAGTTCCTCGAGTACACTCTTAATCTTCGCCTGCATAGTATCAAAGTCCTTACTCTCCTTACCTGACAAGGCCTTCAGCCTCTCCGTCTCATGGCTCACCGCCCTCAACGCCACATGTACACTTTCACGCAATTTCTCATTCAGATTACTAATAGAATCACGCATATCTGTTTGTTGCTGAAGATTAAAAGCTGTGTTAAAGGTCTCTGCTTTCTGCCGGCATTCCGTCAATTTCTCTTTCATTGTCTTCTCCGCCGCCTCCAGCACATCTTCCTTCATGTCCTCCGTCACCTGAAACCTATTAATGCTACCAAGTAATTCACCTCGATTTCTGACGTATTTAATCAACACATTCATCGGCGTGCTCACGATAGAATTCGACGCTGCCACATTCACATTATATGTATGTACACCATCGGCCACCGCGGCTATCGCCGTCTTGTATTTAGCAATACCATTAAGATTTGTGTCTTTAAGTGACGTAAGTGCGCTAGTCAAAGTGTCTTTATGCTGGCCTAAATGGCCATGAATGTTATGTAAAACTCCATGAAGGAAAGACATCACCCCGTCACACAGCCTGTCAAGGTCGGAGTACACAATTCCTTCTCCGGTGTAATTACCATCCTGGTAGCCGAGAAACTTTTCTAAACCTCCACAGAGGTTATTTAAAAGGTTTTTAGTGTTATCAGATTTTTGATCAATTTTCTCAGCATATTCACAAAGCCCTTTCAGTGTCTCAAGAGACTTCTTGGAAGCATTATGAGACTGAAGATCCTTATTAAGCTTGTCAATTTCAGAGGCATTTTTACTTTTATTATCATCATTATTAAGCCTTTTAAGCTCTTCAATTCTTTGATTAAGCTCCTGAATTTTTTGGTTAATTGGCTCTTGAAGCTTATTGAAGGGATCATCATGGACATTTAAATTGCACGCAGAAAGGATGTCAACAAGTTTTTTAGAGGTTTTTGTTTCATCTTTAAGGTGTTTTTTAAGTTTATCATTGACATCATTAAGGTTTTTAATTGCCTCAACATTCTTACAACACCCCTCCCCTCCGCAAGATGTTTTCAAAAGCTTTTCAAGCTGAGTTACATTACTGTGCAAACCATTCAAAATTGCTTTTTTAACTTCTTCTCCACCGCCAATAAAACCCATAAGCTGTCCAGCAAGCTGACCAAGAGAGATACGGCGGGCATGAATATCATTCAAAGCACTTGTTCTTTTAGAGTCAGAGGAATGTACTTCAGAGTAATGGTTATTATAATTGGATTAAAGGTGGATTAAGGGAGGGTTAAAAGAAGTAAAGGGCGGTGAAATGGCACATTTTCAGGGCGATTTGGGGGAATTTGGGAAAAGGCGATTTTAGGTGAAGGAGGCAGCGAGGGAGGTGGGTGGACAGGGTGAGGGAGGTGAAGGGGCTAAAAAGGGCGATGAAGGAGGAAGATGGGTTGAGGAGAGGCGGTTTTAGGGGTGGAGGGGAAAAGTGGAAAATGAGGATTTGGGTGAAGGACGCCGACGGAGGAGGTGAGTGAAGGGGTGGAGGCAGGGAGCGAAGCGACCAGTGAAAGAGGAGGTGAGTGGGTGGTTGAGTGGGTATGTGAGTGGGTGGTTGAGTGAGTAGTTGAGTGGGTGGTTGAGTGAGTAGTTGAGTGGGTGAGTGAGTGAGTGGGTGGTTGAGTGATTAGGTGGGTGAGTGGGTGGTTGAGTGATACACAGATCACACGTGAAGGCACGATTATGGTGAGAAGTACTTGACGTTGGCTATTTTCCCTACGCGTGCGGCGGCGAGGAGGGACTGCGCGGCGATGCGGTGGCTTGAGGGCGATCTCAGGTGGGAGCGTATCCTCAAGACGTCGAGGCGGACGACGGCGATGTGCAGCAGGTACAGGAGCGACAGCGACCAGAGGGCTAATAGAGTGATGGAGAAGGGTGTTCTGATGGCCCATAAGTAATCTGGTATCATGATATGTATGAGTTTGGCGAGAAGTGTGTTGTCGGATATCTTATTGCTTAGAACTCTCTCAAGTGTTCTGCAAAAATCTTTACATGTACGCATCTTCTCAGGCCCATTCTTGTTACTTAGGTTGTATGTGCTCTCAGATACGAAACCAAATTTGCATATGGTAGGACGAGTAAATGGGCAATTAGCGATTGACTTGCAGTCTTTAGTGTGATGTTTATCTTCGAGCGTTTCTACGTCCGCTTTCATATCGGTGTATCTCACGGGGCACGTTTTGGCACAGCCTCTGTCATAACATCTAGTGCCTGGCTTATTGCAATTAGTGCAGCAATCGTCGTATAATTTCTTAAGTAATTCATAAAATGTTTCTGTCATGTAAACGATCCATGAAAGGTATTTGTCGGCATTCTTTTTAGAGAAAACATTCCATCTGTTCATGCCAAACGGCTGCAGATAACGGCCGCATATAATTTTCGACGTGTCGCCATAATCACATCTGTAGAGACTAAAAAGGTCACCGATGTGATGGCTTTTGACGGAATGTTTGCTATTGAACCATATAGAATACACTTTTAATTCAGCATAAGGCTGGCCGAAGTACGCCTTGGAGACAGCCTCTTCAAACGCGTCTCGCTTATGCTCCGTCTTGGTGTTCCACTCACTAAGGAAATTGTAGTAGAACGAGAACATATCGTCAAGTGTCTGAGGCGCTCGCTGTAATAGGCATGTAAGTTGAGCGCAGAGTAGAGCAAGTGGATTATTTGGCCTACCACAGAAATCCGTTAGAACTTCTGCGAGATGCTCGCCCGTTTTCGTATGCGATGCTACATTACTAATATCACCAAATCCCATTGGCGTTTTACAAGGAAGTCCTCTGTGATTGGACACCGTACACGTGAGTTTACAACCGGGAGTTGTGAACGAATGCGGGAGAAAGCCCTGGAGACCGTCCTCCAAAAAGGACTGTAGAGGTGACTTGAGACCGCAACTGACACTTTGGTCACACTTTTGGCTACACTTTTGGTTGTGCATTTGGGTAGCACTTTGGTCACCTTGTTGGCCAGGACACTGCATAGCGTTACAACTCCAAGCGGAGCCGCCGACTCCCCTGCCATACCAACAGTCACGCCAACTGTTAGCGTCCGAAGTACGGCTACACTGTGTGAATACGAAAAAAAGTTGGTCATACACTCTATGTGATATGTCTATAAGCATGTCTAAACATGAAGCTGGGCTACTAGGATAGTCTAGTTTGTCTGCGTTTGTATAAAAGTCAACGGCGTATCTGCCATTTTCATGGCCGCGGCCGAGGATGGCGACTAACACCTTTTCGGCTTGGAAACAAACTTGTAATAGCATGTATCGTAATTCTTTAGGCGTAATGTTTGAGGTGCCAACTAGTTTGAGCTCGTCGTTTTTGAAGTCGGAATACGGCACTTCCTCCCGCCCTTTAGGTTTAGGGAACAGCTCATTGAAGTAAGTGGTAACTTTTCTGAACATCGGATTATAGTACAATCCGAGGAGCCATTGGAGCATTTGGTGAATGTTGCTGGGTGCTCTAGGTGATGGATGATATTCTAGGTGAGTGACATAATAATAATCATCCAGGTAATTGTGAAGATTCCTCAGTGAGCCGTATTTATCTTTATCGGCATCTTTATGCCTGAAGACACGTTTGACTTCGCTCTCGCTGAAAAGTAATTCATGAATATTCTGACCGGTCATACACGCCTTGTCCTGCAAGTGACCAGTCTGCTTGCCTGTCTCGGAATTCACCGTGTATCCACACGTCTGGAAAAAATTCCCGAGGGGCACATCTCTATACGTATTGATTTGTAAACTTCTCCAATTACCGTTTTCCTTACAATTCTTCAGCAACCAACTCAGGTCGTGGAACACCCTCTCCAGTATGGTCAGGCAGACCTTGGCGCTGTTCCGGCCCTCGGTGGAAAGGAGTTTTTCGGTGGTTTGTTTGTCAGACGTCTGGGGTTCCAAGACATCACCAAGTGTTAAACCGGAGTATTTATTCACGTACGCGTGTCCGAGTTGCTGGGTGAATTGCGTCATGCCGCGCCTGAGGGCGTCGAGGAGAAGCGGGTTGTGGAAGCCGTGGAAGTTGGAGGGGGAGAGGGAGGAGATGGAGTCATTTAATTCGGAAAGGTATGTAGTGGAATTGTGGTCAAAAGTGTATTTTCTATTTGTGTCCACATTATTAATTTTAATTAGGTAGTCAAGTAATTTGTCCAGTCGGACGTTAACGCTTCGTACCAATTGAGACTCTTTGGTAGGGGATTTGTGATGCCCTTCAAATTTAACTTGGAGTTCAGTATACGCCAGTAAATTATCGAGATATGATTTTGATTTTTCCGATAATTGGGATAATTTATCACGATACTGCTCAGCTTTCAGAGGTTCCTGAGCTGGCTGAGGCACGGCAGTTTTAAGAGCATCAAGTAATGTAGTTTGTGGCTTGTGGAATTGAGGCATACCTTCTTTATTTATACCAAACAGCATACCATTTACGCTTTTTAATAGGCCTTTTATTCCGGTCACTTTATCTTCATCAATTATTTTCCTCACCTCCGCCAATTTTCGCTCAACCAGCGTATGCAGCGCCGACAGGTCCGCGATGTGCTGCTCGGCGAAGAGGGAGTGGACGGCTTGTTTGATGGTTTCGTAAGCTTCCCGAACAACATTGTCAAGCTTTTTAATGGCTTCATCTAACATATCATTTGTGTATCCCACAGCTACGTCAATATCGTCTAATTTTTCTCCGATGTCAGCTTTCAACCGGTTCATAATCTTGTCGCCATCCTGTTTTTCAACTATAATAACACCTGTGTCGTTTTTCATAATACCGTCGAGCGCTTCTAGGTTGGTGGCAATATCTGAGAGCTTTCCGTGAATCAACCCTGTTTCTGGTGCCGTTGCCAGCACGCCATCAAGCTCACCAATTTTTTTCTTCACCTGATCCAATGCGAGTTCAAGCTGACTACCAGTGCTGGTAAGTTGAATTTGTATCGAATTGACCGCATCTATTGCATCCTTCAAATTTTTGCCGAGATCATAATGTATACCGTCATCGGTTGTGAACAATTTCAGCTCCTCCTTAACCCGCTCCACTGTAGATTTCACTGCGGTGAGGATTGTTTTGACGGCTTTCCCAGGTATATCGTCATGCAACAGCTTAAGTCCAGATGAATCTTTAAACGCCGGATCACCCTTAATCTCCTCGATGAATTCAGGCATACCACCGTTAAGTTTTCCATCAATTGCCAAGGCATATTTCGTGAGATACTGTTGGATGCTGACCAGTGTGTTTTTGACGTCTTTCGGATCTGAATAGATTTGTGACGTGGATTCGATGTCTCCGATTTTACTTTTAATGGCTTCTTTTACACCCGCAGTGTTCAGCTCCTTATGTTTCAGCTTGTTAAAAGTAACAAACCCATCAATTAACTTATGCACCGCACCTCCGTGGTCATCAACAATCTTATTAACGATATTCTTGATTGCCGGCCTGATTTTCCCATCGAGCCTCATGCCATAATTCCCGATGCCGGTTCCAATTGTCTCAAAGAGACCAATTTTCCCATCATGTTCGTCCTCTGTTCCGTTCAACTTTTCAATAATTTTTGGAATCTCTTCTTTAAGATGTGTCCACTTCTTATCTATACTACTCGGTGGCTCACCGTCCTTGCCAACTCCATTTTTAATCGCCTTAAAATGCTCTTGCGCACTTGCTACCATATTATTCAGCACCGCTTTGTTTTGCTTTAGTGCGTCATACACTTCACTCACCCTAATTTTTATTTCATCAAATTTCTGCCTAATCTGATTTGTATATTTCCAGTCAAAATTGTCAACCAGCTTTTGCGCCTCTTTCAAAGACCCTTTCATAGTCTTTAATCGATTATTTTTCTCATCGTTCACTTTGTTAATTTCGCCCAGTATTTTCAAAAATTGCGCATCCAACGCCGCATCCATAGTCCACACCTGCTTCTCCAACATCCCATTCCCCGCAGACTTTTTCAAAGCCTCAAGGACACTCTTCACAGGCTTTATTTCAGTCTCTATTTTACATTTCAGTGCGCTGTCCAACACTTTAACATGATCATTCTCAATTATGTCGACCTCTTTTGCAAGGCTATTTAGACTATCCTTCCAATCGGCCAGTTGCTCAGTAAGCTTCTTGGACTCTTGAATTCTGTTTTTGTGAGCACTCAGTGATTCAGTTTTGAAGATGCTTATACGGCTTGTAAGGCTATCTGTTTTGTACATAACTTCTTTTTCATACCTCTCCAACCACCCACTCACCGCAGTAACCTGCGTAACCAAACCGCCAGATCCCTGACCTATGGAAGAGGAAAGAGACTTGAGAATTTTATCAATGTTTTCAGTTTTATGATCATATTTCGTAACGCTCTCATCATCTTTCACACTCTCAAGAACACCATGAAGGAAAGACATCACCCCGTCGCACAGCCTGTCAAGGTCCGAGTACACGATGCCGGAGCCGGTGTAATTACCATTACTGAAGCCGAGAAATTTTTCGAGGCCTGTGCAGAGGTTATTTAATAACGTTGTTGAAGGATTATTTTAGGCACATTTTCAGAGCGATTTGGGGGAATTTGGGGAAAGGCCATTTTAGGTCAAGGAGGCAGTGAGGCAGCGAGGGAGGTGGGTGGACAAGGCGAGGGAGGTGAAGGGGCGAAAGAGGGCGACGAAGGAGGAAGATGGGATGAGGTGAGGCGATTTTAGGGGTGGAGGGAAAATGTGGAAAATGAGGATTTGGGTGAGGGACGCCGACGGAGGAGGTGATGGAGGGGTGATGGAGGGGTGATGGAGGGAGCGAAGCGACCAGTGAAGGAGGAGGTGAGTGAGTGGGTGGGTGGTTGAGTGGGTGAGTGAGTGAGTGAGTGGGTGGGTGGTTGAGTGGGTGGTTGAGTAGGTGGGTGGTTGAGTGGGTGGTTGAGTGGGTGAGTGGGTGAGTGGTTGAGTGAGTGAGTGGGTGAGTGGGTGGTTGAGTGGGTGGTTGAGTGGGTGGTTGAGTGGGTGGGTGTGTGAGTGAGGTGGGTGAGTGAGTGGGTGAGTGGTTGAGTGAGTGAGTGAGTGAGTGGTTGAGTATGTGAGTGAGTGAGTATGTGGTTGAGTGGTTGAGTGGGTGGTTGAATGGGTGATTAGGTGAGTGGTTGAGTGAGTGGGTGGGTGAGTGGGTGAGTGGTTGAGTGAGTGGATGAGTGGATGAGTGGGTGTGTGAGTGGGTGGTTGAGTGGTTGAGTGGGTGAGTGAGTGAGTTGGTGGGTGGGTGAGTGAGTGATTAGGTTAGTGGTTGAGTGGTTGAGTGATTAGGTGAGTGATTAGGTGAGTGAGTTGGTGAGTGGTTGAGTGGTTGAGTGGGTGGTGGTTGAGTGGGTGGTGGTTGAGTGGGTGGTTGAGTGAGTGAGGTGAGTGATTAGGTGGGTGAGTGGTTGAGTGAGTGGGTGGGTGGTTGAGTGGGTGGGTGAATGAGTGGGTGGTTGAGTGGGTGGTTGAGTGGGTGAGTGGTTGGGTGGGTGAGTGGGTGGTTGAGTGGGTGATACACAGATCACACGTGAAGGCACGATTATGGTGAGAAGTACTTGACGTTGGCTATTTTTCCAACGCGTGCGGCGGCGAGGAGGGACTGTGCGGCGATGCGGTGGCTTGAGGGTGATCTCAGGTGTGAGCGTATCCTCAGGACGTCGAGGCGGACGACGGTGATGTGCAGCAGGTAGAGGAGCGACAGCGACCAGAGGGCTAGCAAGAGGAATGTGACGATGTTGAGCAATGTTGAAGAATTATTTTAGGCACATTTTTAGAGCGATTTGGGGGATTTTGGGAAAAGGCGATTTTAGGTCAGGGAGGCAGTGAGGGAGTGAGGGAGGTGGGTGGACAGGGTGAGGGAAGGGAAGGGGCGAAAGAGGGCGATGAAGGCGGAAGGTGGGTTGAGGTAAGGCGGTTTTGGAGGTGGAGGGAGAAAGTGGAAAATGAGGATTTCGGGCGAAGGACGCCGACGGAGGAGGTGATGGAGGGGGTGAGGGAGGAGGGAGCGAAGCGACCAGTGAAAGAGGGAGGTGGGTGAGTGGTTGAGTGGGTGGGTGGGTGGTTGAGTGGGTGAGTGGGTGAGTGAGAGAGTGGTTGAGTGGTTGAGTGAGTGATGCACAGATAACACGTGAAGGCACGATTAAGGTGAGAAGTACTTGACGTTGGCGAGTGCCCTGACGCGTGCGGCGGCGAGGAGCGACTGCGCGGCGATGCGGTGCGATGAGGGCGAGCGCAGGTGGGAGCGGATGCGGAGTACGTCGAGGCGGACGACGGTGATGTGCAGCAGGTAGAGCAAAGAGAGCGACCAGAGGGCTAACAAGAGGTAGGAGAAGGGTTCTCTGATGGACCATAGGAATTCGTCACATTTCTCGAATAATGTTCTGAAGTAGTCCGACCTGATTATTCTTTTCAACAATAAGTTGAATTTGGTACAGGTCTTTCTATTTCCTTTTGCGTTTAGTATGGACGCATTGCCGAATGTAAATCCGTATTTGTACAATGCGGACATGGTACCTTTACATGTTACTATAGACTTGCAGTGACAAGGGGTATCAAAACTACCATGCTGCCCTGTCTTACAGGTGGCACCGTTCTGACATCTACCACATCCCCAGTCCCGGCAGGATATTTGTTGGAATTCGGCAAGCAGGGATTGGAGGTATATGTAAAATGTCCATGGTAGGTAAGTGGCCCACGACAAATAGAAATCTGAGTGTTTGTTGGTAAGACGATGGTATCTGTCGCTGCAGAGAGATTGAAGGAAGGGGCCACAAAGCTGGGCATTACATGCTGTGTCTATGGAGAGACTTAATAAGTCACATGATTCGGAATCAGTATGCTTCTTGCCGTGATTACGCTGTCTGTTGGCGTACGCATTACGCAGTGCATCGATTAGTTTGCTCGGTTGATTATACAACTCGATGGAGGCATCGCTGATGGATTTTGTGAATACACCATTCCCTATGTCGGTAGTGTTATTAAGCCAACCAGTAACGAGCGATAACGCAAAACCAAAGTGTTCTGGTAATGTGGATGGAGGTTTGGGAGCGAGGCTAAATAGACATGACAAGTGGAAGTTTGATAGGAATGTATCAATGATTTCGCACAGGTCCGTACCCATTCTCATGGATCCAGAAAAGCCTCTGAAACCAAGGGGAGTGAGACAAGGCATCCCGGGTGTACTACCTGGGCAGGTTAAACATTTGGGCTTACAACCAACGGTTATTAGTTGATGTGGAAGGTGACCGGGAAGACAGTCATTTAGGTACGACATTAAAGGTGAAGTAGGTTGGCACTTTGCTTGATTGTTTGGTTGGCACTTTGATTCGCACGTTGGTTGAATATTTGCTTGTGACGTTGGTTGGCTATTTGCCTTGTCGGTTGGATGGTCGGTACACGGCCACTTGGCGGTGGGAATATTTTCACCGTACTGACAATCACGCCAACCGTGATGTTCGGGTTTGTTATTGCACTGCGTGTGTAGAAATCTAAGCACGGGTAGTAAGCGATAAAGTAAGTCAAGAAGTGTATGTAAACATTCCTCGCCGGAAGTAGGATATCTAAATTTAAGAGAGTTGTTGGTGATGTCACAGGCATACATTGTGGATGCGTTACCGTGACCAAGGATGGTGATCACTAATTTGTGTGAGTATGTAGCTAAATCCGGCAAACCGTATGCAACGGCATTGGATAGGTTTCTTTTTAGCAACGAATCGTCTTTTGCGTCATATGCATTGCAGTACTTTTTCAGTTCGTCGAAAACAGCATTATACTTAAGTCCGCTTATCCAACACAGCATGTCATGTATATTGCACGGTGTCTTCGGTGATTTTAGGATAGTAACGTGACAAACTCTATTATATGTGCATAGATGAGAGAACAGAGCGTCAAGTGTTGCCATGACATTAATGGTATGCTTTGCCGACACCACAGTACCAGCAAGCAAATTGTCAATAGTCTGCCCAGTCATAGTATTTTTGTTCTGTAGTTGAGCATCCTGTTTTTCAGGACCGCTCGGCACGGTGTACCCAGCACGTTTCAATATATTGCCGAGATCAGACGAGAGATTAATTTGCCTGGTAGACAGACGTTTTGTGCATTCACCCTTCAACTGCGTCAAATCATTAAACAGCGTATATAAAAGAGTTAAGAAAATTCTTGCGCAACATTTTGTTTCAGTTGCATCTTGCCAATTAATAATTCTCCGCGAGTACGTTGACACGTACCCCTTCTCCAGCTGCTCGACGAACTTTACCAGGCTCTTGGGGAAAGCGTCGAGCACGGGGTACGCGGGGCTGGCGAATGCTGTGGAGTGGAGTGCTTGCACGGACGTCTTGAGTTTTTGGAGCATTCCGGGGACCTCGTGGGTGAAGTGTTTCTTGTCGGACAGGTGGGAGAGGAGGGTGGCCACAGCGGAGTGGATGGCGGAGAGTTGGGGGGAGTATTGAGAGTAAGGGAGATGTTTGGGGAGGTCGATAAATACATACTGGAAAATGTCATATACATAATCTTTTAATTTGGGAGAGAGAGATTCGACATTTTGTTTGTCCTTTAGGTCGTGGAGTTTTTGACCTCCATTATGCTTGTCTCTTAGGACGTTCAAGAAGCCCTTGAGGCCGGTGTTCAGATCGTTCTTAATGATCTCTGTAATTTGTTTAAGTTGGTCGGTGACAATTTCGTGTAGGGCCGAGAGCTCAATTTTTTTGCGGTTGGTGTAGAGTTTCTTAGCTTCATCTTGAACATGTCTGAACATCTGCTCTATTTTTGCATTCACTTCCTTTCGCAATGAATCGACGATGGTTGCGGCCCATCTAGGCGCTTTTACCAGCATATCAATTGATTCTTTAACGCACCTCTCTAGTTCTTCACCAACTAATCCGACTCTCTTCTGCACTCCATTAACATTCTGACCCAGCTCTGTGATGTTGTTCTTAAGCTGAAACAAATCTGCGAAAATACTACAATCGCTTGCCTTTTCACCGTCGTGGCCAACAGTCTTCTTCAACTGTTCGAGCACTGTATCAATTTTTCTCCGAAAATTTTAAACAAGTTCGCAAGCCCTTTAGCTGATTGGCCTACACCGACACCGTAGTCGGCGTCGACTTCCTTGTCATGCTTTAGAGCCGTACTAATCTTTGTCAACTTTTCATTTATTATACCTGCCACAGCCTTAATCTCCTTCTCCAGTTGTGTCTTAATTGCTGCCATTGTTTTTTCTAAAACCTCCTTTGAGTGTTCGGCGACGGTTTGGGAAATTTTGCCAAGGAGGTGAGGATATCTGATACTTCGGTCTTTGATATATTTAAAGTATGTCCATTAAATTTCTGGATTGACGATGACAGCTTTGAGGTGTAAGATAGTAGAGTGACACTAAGTTTACTCACATCTGAAAGAGGCTTTTCGCCGCCAATCTGAAACTCTGTGATGTCAAGATCTGAGCCAGGGGTGTTGATTGCGTTGTTTACGTTTTCAAGTTGAGTTTTAAGGTCGGATTTAAAAGCCGAAAAAGCGCTCTCCAACGATTGTCTGTCGACCTTATTGATCCTGCTAATCCCCTCACCTATCTTCCTCATCGCCTCCTTCACAGGGTTCATAACTTTAGCGTCGAGATGGGAGAAATATGATTTGAGAGAATCGAATGCATTCCCTTCCTTGATGGCTTTCAGTAAATTCACCTGGTCACCAAGTT